TCAAGAGGGAGTTCGAGCAGTCAATAGTGCGACACCTCGCTGGGAACGTGACCCACACGACGGGCCAGAACAGAAAGCGGAACAAACCGTCCGCACAGCTCGGCGTGCCCACGAAGGAGGTGCTTGACATCATGAACAAGGTCAAGCCCAGACATCCACGATCCCTGATCACCGAGCCCTCTGCACAAGGGTCCAAGAGAAAGGCCACGGAGGGCGAAGATGAGGGTCTTGGTCAAGCACCAGACCCGAGTCGAAGTTCTCAAGCCAATACTGAGAAGGAAGACAAGAAGCAGCGAGTGATCGACGGGCGGAGAGCGGCACTAGGATTCCTGGAGTCAATGGAGAAGTGCATGGGAGATATGGGGATCTGTAAGAAGTGCGCGAACCTGGCCCACGACGGCGACTGCAAGGACATTGAGGAGGCTGCTGGAAATGAGAAGGCGATGAAGGTGCTCCGTGAGCTACTCAGCAGTGACCCTATTTCATCTGATGAAGACATGGGGGATACGGAGGAGCCGTCCTCATCAACGTCCAAGGAAAGAAAGAAAGGAGGACAAGCAGGGAAAGAAACAATTGAGATGTACAGCTACACTATTAATTTGGTGGAGATGGCTGACACGGCTGAGGGAGGAGAGCTACAATGTGGTGGCGTCGACCTCACATACAACCCGTGCGGGGACAGCAGGACATTCAAGAAGACGCTTGAGATGGGATGCGACACCATCCCGTGCTACATCCCGAAGTACGGCGACATGATTGATGTGCATATGCCACGGGCATACGCGTCTATTGTTGACCCCAGGTACTTTCCCAGAGGTGCAATCCTTGAGCAAGTGGACGTGATGCAACTTGGCAAGAGTGTCAACTTCTGCATTGCTCCTTTCGACGGTGCTCCACTATGCAGGATTGGTGATGATCGCTCGGTATTTACTACAAGGGACCAAGCAAACCAGCTATCTCACGACCTATGCAGAGTCCTTCGACACAAGATCGGCAATTGCCGAGGAAGTGCTTTCAGGTGCGACGAGGGTGGATGGGTCGACATTGATGCTGTCATTGACGACCGGAACAACGACATATTCCCACCATACACCACGAGAGCGAAACGATACATGGGCATCATGGAGGTGATCAAGTGGCAGGAATCCGGAAGCAAGAAATCGAGATTCCAGGTTCTGGCAGCAAGGTTTCCGAGCATCATGAACCCGAACGACACGAGGGCAGCCAGGGAGGAAATGACCAAGGCTGGCGTGGATCGGGACGACATCGACAGGATGTTCAACAGATGCGATGGATGGTACAGACCTTGGTGCATCCGAGTCACAACCGGTCACAGTGATTTTGGATTCATGAGCTCATCCGCACTGGCGAATAGGTATTCCGCAAGAATGGGTGATACTCTCGGAGGAGCATTCCATGTGACGTATGTGGAAAACCTGCCAAGCATCGTACGCTGTGGGCTAGTCCCCGGCGGAATCGATGGCGGTAACAGGCTAGCACTGCACTTCGGGGCATTTGCTCCATGGGATGAGATGAACGTGGCGACGAAGACAACGCTACGGAACGTGAGGAGAGGGGATCCGATTGCGATCATCTATATTCCCAGTGCAACCCTCGCGCGGTATGGGGCTGGAGTCGCGGCTAATGGGACTTTCATGGTCTTTGACGTGATCCCGTTCTATGAGGTCAAGTCCATTTGGATTGGCAAAAGCAACGGAGGGAAGCGCCTGGAGTACGCTGACATCAAGAGGGCGTACTCGAAGTGTGTGGAGAACGAGATCTGCCCTGGCTTTGTCAACTCTTCCCAAGAGTCGGCTGCGATGTTCCTCCAGAACGTCGCAAAGATCAGCGAGAGGATGCCGGAGACTGAGACAGGTGCCGATAATCTGCACTACATCGTTGACATGGTTAATCGTGCTTGCGAACTCTATCGAAACAACAAGATGGAAGAGTTCAACGCACAGGTCAACGAGGTCCGGGACGAAGTCAGCAAAGTCGTCATCCTGAATGATGAGACATGGGAAGGACTGAGGTGCCGGATATGTCCATCATGTGCGACCGCGATCCCCACCTGCTTCTGCTTATGCCTGGAGTGCGAGGCACAACTGATCTCCATCGGAAGATACTACATTCACATCAAATCCGATGACGAGGAGGACAACCAAAACCCCAACGTCTCTGGAGATGCCAGGCGTGCACAGGAAGAAGCTAACCACGATGCGGCAGCACAGGAGGATGAGGACGAAGCGGAGGAAGTTCCGGGAGAAGATGACGACATGGACACGCAAGGATATACATCCGGCTATGCGTCAGAAGAAGAAGACGGCGGTTGGCATTACCGCGACACCGATCTGACGTCACGGGACATTATAAGTTCCCAACGGATGGCGATCTGCCTTGACGAGCCGCGTGAGGCTCAGTACATGGCAGGATTTATCGCACTCCAGCTGTCCAAGATGTGGGGGATGTTTGAAGGTGGTGAGGAGAGAACGATGAATGCCGGACTCGAAGGGAATCCGGGCTGCCCTTATCACAATGACTTCAGGAGGTACCCCAACATCACCGAGCATGATCAGGAAGGTATACTTTTGCCATCAACAATAACGAAGATTTCTCAATCGGAGAATGTTCGGACAAGAGCCTTCCGATCGGTTGAGGAGCGTGACGAATATATTCGTATGATGGTGAACAAATGCGAGGGACTATACACATTCTACAAGCTGTGGATTGCAGCAAGAATCCTCGATGTCACCAAGGAAGAAATGAAGCTCCTGGTCAAGGACCGAGTGCACCCGGTGGGTGATATTATTTTCAGATGTTTTGCACTAGCTTTCAACTGTAAGTATATATCATTCGTGAGGGATGGCCTAAACCTTGGCAAGCATGGTTACACGGTCAACGTGAGCGCCATCATCTCGGCCATCGACCCGAACAAATGCGACACACCCCTGCTGGATTGGTGCCTTCGGAAAGGGCACTGGTTGCCAGAGGACTACAACAAGAAGTGTGTCCGGGCACGAGAAGCCCAGAAGAACTTGGACGAGGAGTTCCGCCGACGTACCCATAGGCTGTCCATTGGGGACAGGTATGCTTCGTGAAGATGATGATTGCGGTACGATGTGGGCCAGTCCCCATCTGTTACTTGCGTCACATCGACACTGTTTCGGTGGAACGACTTATGTCATGATTTATATTCATGTGTCCAAGATGATTGGATGTGTACATGGTTACATATTCCGATGACTATGACGCTCTGGATATTCATGGATGGAACTATTACCTTATAGATGATATCTTTTCATTATTTATGCATTGTCCATGGTATCTGGAATGGCTATGATTTGCATTGATTACTCACCGATGTTTCTTTGCCGGAGATATGCAGACCGATCACAAGCGGGCGCGTCTGGTGGACTTTTGTGGCCAACCCATTTATGGATGACAGCTGCGCGATGCGCAAATGCGGCAGCTGGAATGTTCACTGGCGGTCAAGTGAAGTGGCCACAGTGTATTATATACACCTGCATATGGATGTGTGCTTCGATTGGAGGATGAATGTTTCACTTTTCGTACAATCGAACCCGGCATGTTTCACAGCGAATGAACGGTGTAGTGATAGCAAGTAAAAGAATGCACGACACGATTTCGTAGTTGAAGCCGTGGCCAGTGGAACGTTTTGTGGTGTTTGGACCGCATGATGAACAATGCGACCCAAATGGGGGATGTTAAAACCCTCTAGGCCCCGTGCCGAAATTGGGTAGCTGTTCTGAGGTCCTTGTTGGTGTTGCTTCCCAAGTTCCATTGATCGCCATTTGGCTCAAGACACAATTGAGGTTCAAGATCTGATGTGTGACTGCAGACCTACGTGATCGGCATCAAGAGCAAAACAACTGCTTGCGCTGCATTGTCAGGACTACTGGTGTAACTATCATTCCTTCTTCCTTACAACGTTTACACGGGTTCGGCTATAACGGCATCGTCCGTATACACCTTTCTACGTGGTTGGTATTAAAGCTTGAGGGTTCGGTGCACAGCGTCCCACGGGACGTCACCTTGCCGTCTCTTGACACAATGTGTGCATTGCAGGGGGGGGTCTCCACGGCCTGGAACATATAAAAGCAAGATAAGAAAGATAGGAAAGAAACAATGGTGATGACGACGATGAATGATGATGATGACGATGATGATGATGATGATGATGATGATATCGTCATCGCATCGTCTGCGTCGCAAGCGGACGATGATGATCACCACATATGATGATAATGATGATGACAGACAACGTTGATGACACTACCATCATAGCATCCCTTGCATCGCAAGTCGGGTCTAACGTGTATATAAGAATGGTAAGAAAGATAAGAAAGACTGACAAAAAGAACGAGTCGATGCAAAAGGGCACATTGGGACTCTTTCAAGAAAGATAGGATGATGAAGATGATGAAGACGATGATAACTCTCATCATAGCACCTCTTGCAATGCAAGTCGGGTGACAACCACGATGATGAGGATAGTTATGATAACAATGCCTCCCGTGACAACTATCATCATAGCATCCCCTGGCATTGCAAGTGGCGCAAGCAGACGATGAAAATAACCACTATGATGATAATGATGATGATGGCTGGTGACGATGATAATGATGATGACGATGATGATAATGATGCGTCGCAAGCCGCGCCAGATATAGATTTCTTACACATCTTGCGGAAATTGACAGTCTATAATTTTGCTGATGAGTCACGATGATGTGGACCGCAGCAGGAACTAGGATCATGACGATGACGATGATGAGGATGAGGACCCCAGCAGGAATGATTATGATTGTGACCATTACCCTTCCCGTGCGCCTCGCCCTTGCGGACAAGGGGTCGGCGGATATATATACAAATATATATATATATATAGCAAGAACACACGTGCTTCCATGTAAACCAAGAAACCAATAGACAACACCTTAAAACACAAAGAACAGCTCCGCGTTTTCGGTTTGCTCCAGGTACCTTTGCTTGGGCCTGGTGCTTGGAGTTGCCACATGTCGTGTCCTGAGCCTCACGTGGCGCGTCACTCTGCGGCTTACGCAAAGTCCGGAGCCCACTGAGCCGTGAACTTGGAAGGAACTTGGAGCAAGCGGCGTTCATAGCTTGGTGGTTCGGAACCAGCGAATCGTCCGGGTCGAACTTTGTTTTTGGTTTTGTTGTTTGGTGTTTAGTGGTTGGGTTTTCTTTTATTCCGCTGAAATTTGAACTTGAGGGGATCTGAGGCGTCTCCTCCAAAACTATTTTCCTGAGTCAGTTCATGTTGTTTTTGGAGTACCCCAAATGTGTGCGCAGACAACTGTGTAAGTGGTTAGTACGTTGAGAAGCGACTGCGAATAACAAGTCCGGAGGGCGCAAAAAGCGCCAAGGAGATGCGTAAGGAAAAACAGCGAGAGACAATCACTCGCTGCTCAAGGCCCCACATGGGCGTGTCTCAAATAGGAATTGGAACCTCCAAAATGGTGATTGTCCGGTTTGGTTTACCTTGATAATCCACCCCAAAAAGGCTACCCTGAAAGGAAACTGATAATGGAGGTCACTGAGCAAGCCATTTGATAGCCGTTTTGGGGTGGGGTGGGGGCTGGTTCTTGGGGGCGATGTTCATGCGGTCATTGCAGGAATCCCGTACAAGTTTCCCTACTTGGGTGTTCGATTCGCCAAGTTAGTAAGTTGTTAGTAACCTATGTTGCCCTTACAAGTCCCTTCAGTGAAGTTTACCTTGTTGTTGGTGAGTCATAACCCAGGTGGCTAGCCACTTACTAACTTGGCCGAACATCCAAGTGTGTCTCCTCTTTTGGTAATCTTAACCGTCACCCTTTGGGCTGGGGCCACTTGAAGTGAGTTTCCCCTTGGGTGATGTTTAGGAGGGGAATATGGGAGTTACCTCTCCAACATACCACTGCTGAGCCTTTTCAAAGGGAACGTTGAAATCACAGCCGTGGCCCAAGCCCCGAATTCCCACGGCATCTTGATTGATTTTGGGTTGGATCTGTTGACTTTGTTTTTGGGGGGAAATCAAGTTGGTTGTTCATTTAACCCACAAACAGTGAACGCATTTTTTGCAGGTGGGTCGCTCCCGCAACCAAGACGTCAAGACGTGTATACTCTCCCGCAATCAAGTAGGAGCGTGGCTGTCAGAAGCGGAGTGTGACAAATTTTCCTGCTGGGAAGGCGCTTCCTTTTCGGTGGCATTCTTCAATCATTAACTCACTTGCCCAAAGCCGACCTTTTGACCTTTTGGTTTTCCCATTTTGGGTTCCCATTTTTAGTAAAGGTCCCAAAAGGTTAACCTTTTATTTCCAGGTCTTTTGGGCAAGTGACTTAATACTCTGCCCGAGTTCCTGGACTTCAGCCACTTTTTGGGAAGGTGGCTTTCTTTGCTTTCTTGGTCCATGTTTAGTCAATGGCCCCACAAGGTCAACCTTTTATTTGAGGTTTCGTTTTGAAACTGAGAGAACCTGGACTTTAGCGGCTTTTTGGGAAGACCATGTTAGCGGTGGGCAAAACACAACAATTGGGAGCCTTTCTCGCTTCCCCGTGCAATCAGGGAGCGAGGGAGAAGATCAGGGACCCTGATGTTGTCAGGTGGCAACTAGGACGTGGTGGCCCATGCTTGACATTTCGAGTTTCCTGCTTGTTCATATTGTTCTGACCTAGGATCAAAGTCAGAGTTCTTTTTCTGCTTGAGCCTATCGCTTCGAGGCCTGACTTTGAACAGAGACGTGTACAACTGCTAGAGGGCCCCCCCTCGTGCACGTGTTGTTTGATCTTTGGCGTGGTCAAGTCCCACTTGGAAGAAAGAAAGTTCGGAATAGGGTGGTCGTTCTTGAGCTACGTTACTGGCAACACCCATGGCCTACCTAAAAACAATTCTGATTTTCTCTTGCAAGCATGCAGAAACGGTTCCGGCAATCGGGGTGTATAGTTTATTGCTTACATAACGGTTTGCTATGCCCTATTGTTTGAGCAAATTATAGGGAGCTGACCTGAGGGCAACGCAAGCTCATGATGAAGTTTCTTTGCTTTTGCGATTCCTTAGCTCTCATTTATGAATTACATAAATGCCCAGGATTTTCGTTGGTCTAGTGTTGTTGGGGACCGAAAGGATGGGCAGCCACAATTTGTTTGGCACCACGAAGCAGATTGAAATCTTCACCCACCAACAGTGCGCTTGTTTGGAGAGGCCAATGAGTGGTCCTAAAATTCCATCCTCGCCTGTTTGTGGGGTGGGGTAACAAGAGAGAGAGAGAGAGAGAGAACTCTTGGTTCTGACCTTTTGGTTTTCCCCTTTCTTGGTCCATGTTTAGTCAATGGCCCCACAAGGTCAACCTTTTATTTGAGGTTTCGTTTTGCAACTGAGAGAACCTGGACTTCATACTTTTTGGGATGACCATTTTAGCGTCAAACAACAAGTTTAGGAGCTCGTTTTGGTCCATCTACTGAACAAGTAAGTTTCATCTGCACATTTTCGGTGTGGGCGGGGTCAGGGAGTCTATCACTACTGGACCTATGTTGTTTGTTTAGGAGGTGAAACAAACGGTTTTTTTTGTGGGCGGGGTAAAAGAGAAGGCCAGGCGTTCGTTGACCGTGTTCCTTGGGGGCCAGGCGCCAGCGTTCGGTGTCTCGTGATTCACAGCCGCCCTGCAGCAGATAGCAGGTACTTGGATCTCAGGTTACCAATGCGGGCTCAGGGAGGTGGGGGGGGTCTTGTTTGAGGGTACCCTCTTTTGTGGATGTCAAGGGAAGCCAAACAACACACACCCACTGCTTGGATGTTCGAATTGCCAGGTGTGTAATTAAGTGGTTCGCCGCTTGGGTTTTGATTTAACACGTTTATCCCCAGCTAGGGGGCTTATAAGTGGGTTACAACCGAACGGTTGCCAAGAACCATAGGTGTCCTTTTTAGGTGAGCCTGCAAGGCTGGGCAAATGTAGATTTTCAGACTGTCCAACTCCTGCCGGCTTTGATTGGAGGGGTAGTTTTAAGGATGCTTTGGATTGCTAGGTCCCCCAGTGCCCTTCTCTCTCCTTTTTTGGTTGGAAGGGTTCCCCTACTAAAATCGACTACAGGAAGAAACAAAATCGGGTACCTTTATTTGAACCTCTCAAATCTGGAGGACCTTGGATTGGGATCTCAGTACGCCTCGCTTCCGGAGCCTTTCTGGACTTGAGTTCGGGATCATGCTTTACGCTCCACTCGTGGAAACTGGACCAGAGGGTGTGGGAAGACTACTTTCCTTGCGAATAAATGGCCTCTGCACTTTTATGATTGGGAAGAGGGTAATGTTGACCCTATTATTGGGAAGAAGCGTAATGTTTAAAAAGCCTATTGGTGAGGCTACCCTTTTTGGTTGGTTTACAGGGAAACTATAAACTTCCATTTGCTTAAGAATACTTTTGATTTTCCCTTGTTGGTTTTAAAGGGATAACCTGCTTAATGTTGACCCAGGACTAGTCAACCCGTCCCATTAATTTCGGGGAGTGTTCCCTCCAAAAGTGATTCGAATCCAACCACTAAAAGGGACACCCCCCAATCAAAATCAACCAGGGTTCATTAATCCGGGGTTAACATTAGTGGGAAACAAGTTTGGTTACTTGTTCTGTCCACTCCACACAAGTGAGAAATAGAAATCCCTCCAGCGCACCTATGCAAGCCATGTAAGCGGAGGCAAGGTTCCCAGATTCGTGCGGACCGTGGTGTCCCGTTTTTGCATCGTTTTGTTGTTGGGTTTACCTGAAAAAACCAACATGGTCTTGGCCCCTTGGTTCTTGTAGCACGGGGACGGTCCCACCTCCAAACCTGATTCATTTCGTGGTGGCTCACCAAGTCAGGAGCTGAAAAAGGTACAGGTCCTGTACTTGGGGATCCTGAGGACCCTGTTTTCGACTGGATTCGGGAATCACCATGTTGAACGGGCCCAAATAGGTGTTTGGTACCCTCAACTAGCAAGTCCTTTCGGGTACTGAGTCACTAGTACGTATCTGCTTCACCCCCAGCTGAGCCTCCATCAGAACCCGAGTAAGTAGAAAATAGTAAGGGGCAGTCCCAGCCGGAAACAGTTGCGGGTCCCAGCCTTGAACAAGTATTCACGTAGTTCTGGGTTCACCATTTTTGTACTTAGCTAACTCCCTAGAGCTTCCAAATCTGTAGCCATACTGTGGATGGACGAAATCCATTTCGCACCACTTGAAACCATGGGAAACCATTGTTCGCTGGTATTTACAGGGGAAACATCGTTCCAGGGTGTCTTAGGTGGTGCAGGATTTCGTCCATCCACAGTAGGTGTCCTTTTTGGGTTAGTTTGGTGAAAAATAGATGGCACTGGTTTAGATGGGGTTTATGCCCCATTTACCAGGGCAATTCATTTATTTGTCAACAAGGCCACCTATGTTTGTAGCGAGTCCATCGGCTGCTTGGGGCAAACCCGTTTTGCCACTCAAGGCGGTCCATGTCAGTGCAGCAGCTGCCGCCAAGGGCCGGGGGGCCCGGCCGACAGCTGTCGGGTTCAACTTCTTTGGAGAAAATGGATGGGGCGATTCCTGGTTGACCTGCTAGGTCCCCCAGTACTGCCCTTGTACCCTATTGGAGGCTCCCCGTGTCTAAAATAGACGTCCTGAAAAAAGTTGCTACCCTTGTTCGAACCTCTCAAATCTGGAGGACCGAGTTGCTGTGGTAGAAAATGGAGGGCGATTCCTGGTGGACCTAGTCTTCCATTTGGTTAAGAATATATCTTTCTTTCTTTTTTTCGGCTGGTGGTTCTATAAAGGGAATTGTTCACTACTGGAAATAGTTATTATTATTATTTTCCCAGGGGGCTTAAGCAAATGGAGGTAGTTGTTTCATACTCTGTCAGGGCCATGACCTGCTAGGTCCCCCAGTAGTGCCCTTTTACCCTTTTTGAGGGGAGGATTCCCCTACTAAAATAGACTACAGAAAGAAACAAAACAAAAACAACAGGTACCCTTATTCTAACCTCTCCAATCTGGAGGACCTAGTGGTTGACCTGGTTTTGCAGGGCCATCAAAATTTTGCCAAGAAGGGACACCCATGTCCTGGGTCCCCAAGGGGCAGCTGAGACACCAACAAAAGCGCCCTGAGCTCCTGGAATTCAATCTCACTTTCTGGGAAGACCTCAGTTGTTCCGTGGCTCCCTTTTTCTTTTTCCAACTTTTTTTGGTGGCTGCCCCACTAAAATGGTCCAAGCCCCAACAAAAGGTTCCAATTCTTCTTCTTTTTTCAGGGTCACTGAACAACTGAGAGACCATTTTAGTGGCAGATGATATCAACATACAAACTATATACGGACTTTTTTTTCACCATCTCTACTCTAGTGGTAGACCATGTTCGTGGTAGAGATCAACATACAAAATACTGACTGTTTTTGGCCATCTTTACTCGATCGGAGGCAATGGACCAATTCACCATTTCAGTGTCCCCAACTTGTTCAGCGGCTGCAAGCTGGAGGCCTCTGGGGTGATTTCGGAGCAGGGGATCAAAAGGAGATTCGATTCCTTTCGCGCATTCGAAAACGGAGCCATCTTGGATGGCCGGCCAAGTTCGGAAGTGGTTAGCCGCCTGGTTGAACCAGTAAGTTCAGCCGGTTGTAAGTAGGTCAAATAACCCGAACGGCTCCGAACTTCCCACCTTGGCCGAGAAGCCAAGCAGTACCGTCGACTCGCCTGGGTTCCGGGTTCGCCGCTTCGCCCCGCGTGTTTTCCGTTTCGATCGAGGAGCGGGAGGCGGTGGCGCGCCACCTGCAGCGCTCCAAGTCTCAGGCTTCGAACTCGCCGCCCGCTTCCGCCGAAGAATTTCTGTCGCCGGGCGGGGGCCGAAAAACGGACGCAACGGACCTGTCTAAGTCCCCCAGCAATTGGTGCCCGAACTCTCACCGTTCCTTTTTTGGTTGGGAGGGTTCCGCTACTAAAATAGACTACAGAAACAAGTTGGTACCCTTATTCTAACCTCTCAAATCTGGAGGACCTAGCGTGGATGGACGCAATTTGGAGACCTAAGGAACGCCTGGAATTCGGAAATTCGATTCCCGTGTATATCCATGACCTAAGACACCCCTGGAATTTTCGGAAATTCGATGCTCCAACGTAAATTCCGACAAGCTTTCTGGGTTCGACCATGGACTCAAAGTGGTGCACAAATTTGTTCATTCATAAAGGTACCTGGCTGTGTGTCTAAATTGGGGTACCTCCCCCCACAAAAAGCAAAACAGGATTTCAGTGCTCCGTGTGGTTCCCATTTGAACCCCACTCCCCAATAACAAAGGCAACTTGAACAACATCGACAAGCGAGTTGTGAAAGAACCCACCTGTATCCTCCAAATAGAACGAGCTCACATATGATTGAGATCCGTATTTTTTGGATTTCTTAATGTTGGCAGGTAAATTATAGATACAGAATCCCCCTGTTGGGTTTGCTTCTTGGCACCTAACTCGAAAATATTGCAGAATCCAAGCCACCACTTTACTGGGTGATAAATCGCCATATACTTGTTGGTTTGCCCTCAAGAAAACTAAGACGGATAGCAATGTGGCTACTTGTTGTTTTGTTGTTGTGAAGGGTAAGACTGTGGAGCGGCCTTTGAGGGAATCCAAAAGGGAAACTACCAATTGTTGTGGAACCCCTTTTTCAAAGCATGAAAAGGAGTTCCAAGAAGTAAAACTCGTTTGTGTAGTAATAAACACTTGCCCTCAATCTCTACCTCAAAACACATCCATATACAAGTAGCCCCTATTTGGTGGTTTTTCAATCGGTGGTTGGGGGATTTGAATGCCCTATTCTTTGGGGAGTAAGTAGGATACGGCCCCTAAGCACCACCAATCCAAGTTAGCAAGTTGAGGGAAGCCTGACATGTGTTGTCTCATGGATGCGGAACTCCGCCTTTTCATTTCTTTACATACTGTAGATGGACGAAATCCGGATCACCTAAGAAACCCTGGAAGGATGATTTCCCCATAAATGGCAACTAATGGTTTCATCCATAATTTCAAAGTGATGCCAACGGATTTTGCGCACCCACAGTAGCCTAGCAAGTAGAGGGAAGCTGACATAGGTTGTTTCATGGATGCCTTTCATTTCTTTACATAGTTCTGAAGATCGCCTCACCGGGTTTTGATCACGACTCATATGCTCAACCGCCGAACCATCAGCCTCGCCGTGCCGTTCATTTCCAGGCGGAGGTCGTGAAGGCGCGATGGGTCCCTTGGGCCGGGGCAGTGCCGGGGCCTGGGGCCTGCCAGACTTGGAATTCGCGCTCGTTTCGGTTTTGAGCTTTTGAGCTTTTGAGCGAAAGCCTTCAGGAATTCGAAAGGGAAACCGTGAAAAAGCGTAGAAACTTTAGAAGCTCTAGAAAGGATTGGCTCCTGAAAGGGCGGTTTTCCTAAAGGTTCTGAGGGGGACATCCATGAAATAGACAGCTACCATGATCTCCCTGAATATTCACGACCCACGGCTCACTTTCCACGCCTTGAACGGTGACCAAACCGCTTTGCCAGAAAAAAGGAAAAATGGTTGGTTCACTTTGGTTCACATTCGTCATCTAGGTCCCCCAGTAGTGCCCTTTGACCCTTTTTGTGGGGAGGGTTCCCCTACTAAAATAGACTACAGAAACAAGTTGGTACCCTTATTCTAACCTCTCAAATCTGGAGGACCTAGTCATGGGGGTCTTTAGAACCCTGTAGTACTGTGGATGGACGAAATCCATTCCGCACCACCTGGAAAACCCTGGTTTCGGAATCGAATGTTAAAGCAATGCGCTTTTGTTTTTCGCCCGGTGATGGTTCGGATGATTCGAAAGTGCTGACCAATCAAGGACTTAATTCGGCCACAAGCCACTTCATGTTGACCTGGATCTAAGCATAGTGATGAATCCCCGCCCCTTAGAAACTTACCAGGGGTTCTACTTAATTCGATCCGGGCCTGGGAAACGAACCGGGGAAAATAAGCAAGATCGTTAGGTGAATGGAAGCATATATCAAGCGTGAGGCTGCTCCAGCAGGGGGGGGTTTTCCTGGGGTTTTCCTTTTCGCTAGAGTACAGCCTGGCGGGTTTTCTGGAGATGTTTTAATCTGGAGGTGTATTTTTCTCGTACAGCTGCTTCATGGATATCCGCACCTATTTCAGGCTACAGCATGGCGGGTTTTCTGGTACAGCTGCTTCATGTTAGTCCGCTCCCGCTTTTTTGTCCCGTCCGCGCCGCTTACTTGCTCTGCTCCAGCCAGCTCCATGAGTCTCCGTCGATCGCGCGAGGCGCAGCTTACGCAGGAGGATCAGCAGTGGATCCAGGCGCAGTGGTCCAAAGCTGTCCGCTGAATGGGGTGGGTGGGTGTGCCTAGAGTCTCCTCCCGGGTTTTCCGCAAAACGAACCCCTCATACGGCCCTACTGCTATTGGGTTGGATCTTTAGACTTTAACTTTTTGAATTCCTGCACCCAAGTGATATGAGGCTTGATTTTGGCAGGAAACGAGGGTGAGGGGAGAGGGGAGGGGGGGCCGAAGCGGCTTTCAAGTGGGCGATTCTTGGGGCGTTCGGCTTTGTGCAGCACACCATTTCGGATCCACTTTTCTTGCGCTTTGACCACAGAGGGAGTGGGTGGGTGAGGGGGCTAAAACGCAAGTGCGGGGAAATAGGCTGAATTTTGCCGTTTTTCATGGTTTTCCTAAGCCTGTTTTGTTTTCTTTGGGTTTTCGTTTAAACCAACGCAAAAGAAGAGCACCCGGCCCCCATGTAGGGATCCTTCACTGTGGTTTCCTTTTGCAAGGCCCAAGTTTCTGTCCTCGGTTGCACATGGGGGCAACTCTGGGCGAAAACGCGGCCTGAGCTCTGGTTAAATTGAGTGTGGCTCAAAAACAAAGAGCTACTGTGAGTGGACAAAATCCGTTCGCATGACTTTGAAACCACGGGAAACTATTAGTTGCTATTTATAGGGGATTCATCCTTCCAGGGTTTCTTAGGTGGTGCGGGATTGCGTCCATCCACAGTATGAACCCTTTGATAAGTGTGTTTTCGAGCCTTTTTGCCCTGACAGTGAAGATTATTTCATGCGTTCATGTATACACGCCTTGTCTAAACTCGCTGGTGGCCTGAGTTGAGCCCCTTGCTAGGCGGAATGAACTATGAAGCGTTTGAGTGCGTCCCATGGTTGTAGGCATAAGAACCCTTTCTGCGATACTCCAGCGGGCCATCCCTAGGACTACTTAACTTGTCGAATCATTTGGGTATGGGTCAAAATTAAACTACCAGGGGACCACAGGTTTTAGTCATTGTTTCCATTACGAGCCAACATACCGATGGACGAAATCTATGTTTCACCACCTTTCGGAGAAACCCTTGAAATGATTCGATTCCCAACGTAAACACCAAGAAACGGAATGGTTTCATTCCCATGATTCATTTGGTGTGAGCAGCGGATTTCGCGGTCCGCATACCCAGAACTTCCTCGGCCATTAAATAAATGTCCTTGGGACAACGGACATTTTTTGCTCGAGAAGGGACATTTTTTGCATCCACTATGGGGGCTCAATTTCTTCGAGTGCTCTCATCAGGGCACATTGACGACAGACAAACCATAGACATACGGTAGACATATCATAGACATACCACAGGCAAACCATTCGGGAAAACCATAGGCAAGCAAATAACCGCTACGAAAAGTACGGTGTAAGTCAGGGGTACTTGATTCCGCAGAAGGGGAAACACATTGCAAAATCAGGATATTCACATCAGGTCGAGTCGTAAAGCCAAGATTTGTTGAGCTCGTTGCTTGTTGCTTGTGACCGAAAGGGACCGTAGACAAACCATAGACAGCCCGTAGAAAGTACATTTTCTGCCGTAGAAAGTACATTTTCTGCCGTAGAACGGCCATTTATTGCCGTAGAAAAGACATTTTCTGCACATCCCGTTTTTGCACCATTTTGGTGTTAATTCGCGGCACGTGACTTCACAGGACTTTGTAGCTCTTTTCTGGCTTGGCAATTGCCAATATGCATGCATGGATCGATGGATGTATGCTGGACCAGTATGTGCAGAAATCAAATAAACAGTTCCCGAGCCGTGCCCCGTGGCTGACGTTGGCAAGTTTCCGCAGAAGGCAGTGCGAAGCGCACGAAGCACTCTCAAGCTCGGCAAAATGGGACTGTGCAGCCCCCTCCAGCTACTGTTAAGTGCGATTTTCGTGAAAATCATGATCCAACCAAATTTAAGGAAAAACATGCCTTTTCCCAGAAAATGTACTTTGCCACCTCGGCCATGTATTTAATGTCCTTTGGAAGTCTAGGGCATAAGACAACTGGCCGGGATGTAGAGTCGAGGCTTCCGGGAAACCTCTGCGGTGAGGTTCTTGGTTAGAAACCGTTTCGGCGTTATAACCTACTTACAACCGGGCCCCATTTTGGGTACCTATTTCTGACCCGCAGCCATTTTCCTTTGTTTTCCAAAAACACAAAACATTAATTGCATCAGACCCTGTTCTAGACTTTTACTGTATCTCTGGAAATGTAGACATGTGGGTTTGTTTCAAAATAGGGTGACCCCCCCAAAATGAATAGTTGTCCTTTTGGTTTCCCTTTAAGCCAATCCAAACGAAAGGATCCAAGATATCGCATGAACAATAAAAACAAAAGTTGCCCTAAGGACGTACCCTCAAAAGCAATCCTTCTGGGCGTGCGTTTTTTCAGGGGCCACAAATGGAGGTTTTCCTTCTGGTGTTCTTTTGAACCGCCCCCACAAAGGGTACTACTTTAGGTTCCTGCGTTGCATCCTGCTTACCACCCGCGCAACTCACTCGTATGCAGGTTACAACCTAGGTAAATAGCCACCGAGTCGAGCACCAAAGTATAGAACACGAGACGAACCCATATGGGCATGGCTCAATATTAAACAGCTAGGGTTATGCAAGTTTTATTCTTTGCTTCCACATACCAAGCTGCCATTTTGGGGATTCCATTTTCTGATAGCCCACACCCCACACCCCAGTTGCCCAGTGGCGCTTTTTTTTTGCTTGTTGATCTTGGAAGGGTTCCCCTTAAACCCAACCAACCTAAAAAGGGTGCCGATTGTTTTGTTCCCATGGAAATCCACTGGGCAGTTGAGCCACATCAACTCCTGCCATTTTTGGGATTCCATTTCTGAGCCCACACACCACAATTGAACAAAAAAAGAAAGCAAGCCTTCACCGCCTTCACCGCCTTGGCCCGCAGCGCGCGGTTCTCACGTGGGCCGCGCCGGGCGAGCCTCAGCCGGCGCCGCCATGGCGACCGCGGAGGAGCTCCACGCAAAGATCGCGGGCGCCAAGCGGACGCTGGAGGCGCACGAAACGACGCGAAGCGCGCGGAAGCGAGTTCCCGAAACCCAAAAACGGGAGGCGCTGCGTTTTTGCTTCGGTGAGTATAGTTGCTTCCCACTTCTGTAGGGAAACCGTGCCAGATTTGTTTTTACCCAGTTTGACATGGAGACCAAGAGAAAACACCATCATTTTCTAGAGGAATCTTCTTTTGGACAATCACTCTTTGAGGTTTCATGTTGTTTTAATTTGTAGAGTGGTCATTGGGAAGGTCTTTCATGCGTATCACAGAAGTGTGCGATTCCCACCCTGAGATGACGGCGGCAAATGGTGTTCCTCATAGGCTTTTTTTCTGCTGGCTTTTTTGGGTGACACACCCAAATACGCCCAAATAGTTGTCCTCTAAAATGGCTGGTTTCCTTTGATATCCCTTTTAATGCCAACACACTGAGATGGAAACTCTGTCAAAAATCTAGGGTATCCTTCAAGATTTGGTTAAACAGCCACATGTAGTTTTTTTGGGGTGAAAAGTGTTTGTGGCAGCCCCCATGGTTTAAAGTGCAAATGTGAAGGGTTGTTTTTGGGTTTCCCCCAGGGCCAAGTGAGCAAGGGAAGTCCAACTCTTTTGAGGCACCTTTTGAACTGTTGGTTTCCCTTTAAATCAACCAACAACAGAACTGGGTGGCTCCCAGCCATCGCCTTCGGTTTTTCGCTTTTTAGGGTAGCCCACTAAAAGTGAAACTTTTAGCAGGCGATCTGAGGCCCAGATTAAAAACAACACATCAATCGCTTTGGTTTCCCTTTTGCCCCTTGCAACCTTTCCACTTCCTTTTGGTTTCCCATTAAACCAAATACTAACTCGAAAGACGAGCCTTCCATTTCTGTTTGCTATTGGGTTGGCCCGTTCGCCTTGAACTTGGCTGAAGATGTGTATCTTCCTCACCAAGAAGTTATCAGATACGTTGGTGGTTTGGAGCCAAGTAGTTGGTTTGGGAGTAAAGGACCCCCAATTCCTTTGAAAGCCAACTGAAAAAATGTTCCCAAAGCCACCAAGCACCTCGAGTGAAGCTGAAGTAGTCCATGCCTCTCATTCCCTGCTGGCTGTGGCTCAAAATTCAAGAGCTGGGGTTACGCAGGTTTTGGTCCATGTTTCCACTTACCAGGGTTCCATTTTGGCACCGGTTTTTTGAGCCATACCCTGCTGAGAACCAGCAAGTGCATTTGCCACCGAATTTCGAGGTAGTCCAAGAGTTGGCGCCTGAGAAGTCCCTTGGTTAGGAGGGTTAAGGGTACGGATGCCCCGCGCCATATTGCAAGTAAACCATGCGAGAGAAAAAAGGGGGGGGAAACATGGTCAAACACCATAAATTAGACGAACTCAGCTTGTTCCCTTGCTTGTCATATGCGAACGGGGAATCCACCGGAACCTTCCCCCATTTCCAGCCATCTCAGTTGCCCAAAGCGAATGTGGGTAGCCCATTTTTGTAGCAAATCAAAAGTTCGGACTTTCTTTCGCCAATCCACTCAGGACGTTTGCTTAGGGAAATGAAGGAACACCGAGTCGGAGGGACCAGGGAGAGGGGAGGGAGGGCGCCGAATCAGCGGTAATGAAGCTCGTAAGGACTTGTGTGGCCTTCCCCCCTCCCCTCCCTGCCCCCCCCACCCTCCCCCGACCCCATGAATATTGGATGTTCGGCCAAGTTAGTAAGTGGTTAGTCACCTGGGGTGCAGCCTACTTATGAGTGAGTCGGGCCGATTGCAAGTAGGTTATAACTCAGGTTACTAACCACTTACGCACTAACTTGGCAAGTGCTGTTGACGCCGGATTTGGTGTGTCCTTCCTGGAGTTGGTACTCCGTGTGTTTTTGTTGTTCTGCTTTGTTTACAAGGAAGCCGCAAGAAGCCAACCATTTTGGGGGCCCCCTTAGCTTACCAGTTCTCAGCGGCGAATGAGGGAATGACCCCTATAAACCATCCCCTATGCTTTTTCCTTCAAGGGAATCCCCTTCCGGTTCATTCCCAACACGCTGAGCACCAAAGAGTTGGCTTCAGGCTCGTTTGGGTATGGGTCAAAATCGAACCACCAGGATATGGACCGCAGGTTTCAGTCCTTCTTTCCATTTAACAGGGTTCCATTTGTGGTACCTGGAGTCTCCATGCCCCCTTAAAAAATGGTTGGTCATACTAGGGTTGTGACCAACCATGTTTAAAGGTCAGAAGGAGACTCCAGGTACCTCAAGGGACCGCAGGTTTTAGTCCTTCTTTCCATTTCACAGGGCAAGCCATTTGTGGTACCTATTGCCCCGCAGCCGTTTCGGGGGTTCCCACAAATGACCCCTATAAACCATCCCCGATTTGGTTTCTTTTAACGGAATCCCTAGAATCATTTCCACCAAGTTGGCTCCAAGCTCGTTTGGGTATGGGTCAAAATTGAGCCACCAGGATATGGACCGCAAGTTTCAGTCCTTCTTTCCATTTAACAGGGCAAGCCATTTTGTGGTACCTGGAGTCTCCATGACCCCTTTAAAATGGTTGGTCATTGCCCAATATTAAGGGGTTATGACCCCATTTTTTAAGGGTCACGGAGACTCCAGGTACCTATTTTTCAGCCACAGCCGTTCCAGGAGAAGAAGGCGCATACCACGCAGCTCCGCGAGGAGTCCACCCGCGCGGAGGAGCGACAACGTCTCAGGCGGCAGCTGGAGGAGGTGCCCGGCCCGAAAGCTCTCGCTCGATCCGACGGCAGATGCTGTCGGCTGTGTCTTTTAGATTGGGGAGACCCCAGAAGAAAAAAAAGAACTAGCGGGGATTTTGTTAGTTTAGCGCCAACAAGACCTAAAGGTTAAAGATGCTGCCGAAGACCCCAAAAACCCGACAAGCTCAAGGGGATCTCGTTACTTGGCGGCGAAGCCAGCCATCCGGTTCGTTAGCCTTTTAGTTTTTTAGTGTTTAGTCGCAGTTTCCTTTTAACCCACTAAAAGTTATTCACTTTTAGCGGGGGATCTGAGGGCAGCCCAGGTTATTTTCGCGCCAACAAAACCTAAAGGTGTGGTCTATTTGATTTACAGATGTGCTATGTTCCGCGTTGGTTTTAAAGGGAAGCTTTCACTACTGGTACTGGTACTGGGAGCTCCAAAAGACTTACCTGGAGCCTCAAAGTACCCTTAAAAAGGAAAACCCACCAACCATATGTTTGGGTTGCAATATCGCAGGGTCGTTTGAGAGTTCAGGTCCATGTATCTGGGTTTGTTGTTACTTTGCTTGTTGGTTTTTACTTTCCATTCGTTACTGGGAGCTGTTTTTTGTTTTTGTTTTACCATGTATTTTAAGACTGGCTATATTCCTCCTTGGCCTTAGATGAACAAGTAAATGGAAGAATAGGTGAACGGTGGTTCCTTTGGTTTCGCATGAGCTTGGTTATGGGCGGCACAGTTCGAAGGAGCATCGTACCTTCCCCGAGGCTTTCAACTGAGAAAGCAGCCAAACCGGGGGGGCAGCAAGTCATTGCTGCGCTGCGGACAAACGACCAATTAAAATTCGACTCACATGATTCCATGGATGCTCTTCTCACTCTTTACAAGAGTTTGGGTACCTGAACCCTCAAACTTCCCATAGAGAAGGGAATTCATCCAATAATTTTAGAGCAATCATAGTTAGATAATTTTGAGAGTTTAGGCAGACTCCTTCACCAAGTGTTGACACCACTTGGGTGCCTTTCACCACAGGAATGCGACCCCTGGATTGCATCCTGTCGGTTTCTCGTTCGACAAAAAAACCTTTCCGCATGGTTGAGCTATGTGCCTTGCTGGGTTTGCGAGCTCACCCCTTCGGGGGTAAAGCGAGCTCATCGTGGTCCTTTACTTGGGGATCCAAGTCTTGTTTTCGGTTTTGGAATGGGCTGTAGCTCAAACATAGGTACCCTACAAGAAACCCTGGTAAATGCAACCCTCGTAAATGGAAGGACTAAAACCTGCGGCGCCTTGGTATCCCTTGGTGGTTTAATTTTGACTCATGCTCAATCATTGTCAGAGTTGCAGGTGAACTGTCTACTATATCATACATGGGAAGCCCTCATTCGCTCCATTCGGCACAAGACAGACTCGATGAGACATGAGGTTGACATACCTTTTGTTGGGCTGAACCACGTGACCCTGGTGTGTCCATTTGGTTGTCCAGTGTTTGGCCTGAGTTTAGGTTTGGGGACCCAGTGCTTGAGCCAAGCCGACTTGGCTGAATTTGTTTCGCATGTCTCGTGGTATTGCTTGGTGTTGGTTGCCCCCTTTTGTGGTTGAGCCTTTTGGTTTCCGGGGGGGGAGGGGGTTGGGGAACTCGACGGGCCGGGCTTGCGTTTTCTGTGGTGGCGAAACCCCTCTCAAATCAACCACCCAAATGAGGTGCTCTTCTTTTCATCATGGAAACCAAACGTATCCTCTTTGTTTGTTTTGTTTGCTTTGGGTTCTTTCGGAAGCCCAGCAATTTTCGAGAAACCAATACTTTTTTCATCAACATGCAGGACACTCTTAAAGGTGCGCTTTTTGCTGTCCCTTTGAAAAGGTGACGCACCAGTTGCCGGCGCCGGCCATTTTTTGTTGGGCCATTCCTTTTGACACAGGGGCCTAAAGTCGGTGGCCATGTGTTTGACAACCCGTTTTTCCAGATGCTTTGACATCAGATAGGTGCAAAATGTTGTTTGACCAACCTCCCCCCCTTCCCCCGCATAAAAGTCAATAGACAATCAAAACAACAACGCAACAAGCTGTTTTTTTAGATGACCTCCCCCCCCTTCCCCGCCAAAAAAAAAGCACCAACAGCTGGCTCGGATTTGTTTGACAACCTCTCCCCCCCTCCCCCTTGAAACAAGAAACACAACAAAACAACAACTCCAAAAACAGACAACCCGAAAGCTGGCCGAGCTGGCTGGGATTTTGTTGAGAGGTGAACACCAAAAACAGAGCCCGCCCGAACAACGGTTTTTTATTGGTTCTTTTTTTTGTTGAATTCTTCTTTTTTTCTGAGCTGATTGCTGTTTTTTTTTTGCGAGGTGCAGAAGCACATCTCGCACCAAGAGTCCATCAACAGCGGGGAGCGGAACTACCGCCGGCTCCTGGACGCGGACGCCTTGGGGAACACGCCCTCTGATGGCTCCAAGCCCTTTGAGCCTCCCCCCGCCAGGCTCGCGGAGCGGAGCCGATCGAATCCGAGCGGGGCGAGCGGGGCGAGGGGGGGCTCGCGGAGCCGAGGGGATGGTTGAGGTGACGGGATTTGTTTCTTTGACGTGTTTGTTTGACGTTATTTTTTGTTCCTCCCTTTTTCGGGTGGATGGGGTTTCGGGTGGTAAAAATTGTTTATGATGTTTGAGGTTATTGCGCTAAAGTCAGTCATGGTTGGTGCTTTCTTTTCTGGTCCAGGGGTAGTTTGAGGGTGGAACCCCCGGCAACTGCCTTTTCATCGTGTCCACCTTGGGACTGTCCAAAAAGCAGAGGTTGGGAGACTGTTGCATGTTGTTTTTCTGGAGGCTTTGCTCGAGTCTTAAGGGACAAGGACCACCGATGCGTTGCATTTTGGGGGTAAAACAGATAGATAGGCGAAAGGGTTGTGGTTTGGGCCAGGGGAGAGGCTGTCGAGGGTTTGAGGGGTTCCGGGGCGGTCGAGAAAATATGCGCTTAAGATTTGTTGGGCTTAGTGTCAACATGTTTGAATCTTTGGGAGGCTGTGTTGTTGCCAATCGGGACGTGAGTCGATACATTGCGATTCGGCGTTTGTCTATTTGTTGTGTTTCAACGCTGTGACCGAATCCCCCCCCCACAAAAACAGAAGGCAACACATGGGCTTTGTTTTAATGGTGTGACCGAATCGCCCAAAAGGAGAGACCGCTTCGGAAGCCAATTGGCGGCTCATTGTTATTTGTCCCCGCGTTTATCGAAATGCTGGGTTTAAGTCTGGGAGTCATGCACCAGAACCCTTGCCAGCTCCCACCCCATGAGACTTAGAAGCAGAATCTTGCGGGGCACGGCTGGAACCCTTTTAGAGGGCACCTTTTTTTGGAGGGCACCCTTTCTGGAGGGCCCCCGTTTTGGGGTCGGCTTAAAGGGAATTCAACAGGAAGACCGGTTGGGACTAGAACATGGAATTCCACTCGCCACCTCGCATCCTTTGAAGGGATGATTTCCCACGCAAGACAAAGACACCTGTTCCGCGAAAAGGTGTGGTATGGTCCTTTCAGGGGAGTTTTCTTTGTTTGGATGGCTTCAAGATCAGTTTATGTTCTAGGGGTACCTTCCCCATTCTTTCCAGGGATCCTTCTTTTCAGGAAACCATCAAAAACCCAGGAGAAACAGCCGGTTTTTGAAAACAACGATGGTTGCAAAGAACGGAATCAGAATCACCCACTAGATATGTTGTGCTATTTGATTGGATCTTTCGCCTTGGAAATCCCTCCGAGAAATCCGATGTGAGCTTATGGGTAGGCAAAGGCTGATGGAAACCAAGATCCAACTTCACCTTTTTGGCTTTTCGTTGGTTCATTGGGTGGTTCTATTTAACCCGGTAAAGGTTAAGCTTTTAGCAGGGGATGCGCAAACAGCCTAGATTAGCAAACTAATTTTTGTGACTTAGATCTTTGCCCGACTTAAGCGGCGTTCTTCACTGGGAGAGGTGTTCTCACCCCATAAAGACAATCCAGGTTTACTTGAGCGGATTGTTGTGCATTGCACCCTGGGATCACAGAGGTAAGCACATCATAGGACAAAGGCGCAGCTTGTTGTGGAGCCGTTTGCATGTGGCAGGGTTTCCGAAGTTCCCCTGTAAGCATCCCCTTTTGTTTGTTATTTGCTTGAATCTTTAGCCTTTAGCTGTTTGGGTTGACACTTTTGTTTCCCCATTTCACTGACCCTAAACCCTAAGCCCAAAACCCTAAACCCTATGCCCAAAGCCCTGAACCCTAAAACCTAAACCCAAACTTAACTTAAGCTTCGCACACTGAGCACACTAATTTGCCAGACGACACTCAGAGTCACGCGGCTGCATCTCTCGATGCGTGCGGCATTCCTCGGATTCCTGAAGGGCAAGACATCGGCATGGCGAAGCTCCGGCCGGGCCCCACCTGCACGCTGATGGGAACGACGGGGCTCAACGCCGGAGATGCTGGCAGAGCTAGGGGCGTGGATCTCGTCCAGGGCGGTGTCACAAATGGTGATGTTGCGAGGGATGCGGACGAGATCCTCAGGTCGGAGGTATCACGACTAGTGGTGATGTGAATCGAAGGAAGTAAGGCTGGAAAACGAGTTGTTCCAAGAGCTGGCAGTTGTTGCACCGGTCCAACTCATATCCGTTGACACCTTATGATTGCTGGGAGAAATAACCTACCATTCAACTGGTGCGATGCCGGTTAGTCCAGCCGAATTCCCACGTCTTCTGTTTCCGGTAGCTGGAAATGGAGATAGCTACTGCCAGACTTGACGATCCTTTTGGTGTCGGGTTTCTTCATTTCCCGTAGCAAACAGCCGTTGCTTCTTGCAGCGCATCTAAGGCCAAGTGAGTTTCCTGTTGGGGCTCCTTCAATGTGTTCAGGGCAAAACGGATGTGGTCACCACTAAGGGGCGGGCAGCAGATGGGATTAGACTAACCTTTGCAAACCCTTTTTGGGGTTCGCACAAGGGCTTCTAAGGGTTCGTGGCGATCCCCCCCATACACACAGACACGCAGACCCATACACACACACACACATGCACACATACACACACACATGCACGCACACACACAGACACACAGACACACCAAGACACCGAGACACAGACACACATACACATGCATGTAGGTAACGCAATGTAATGCAATGTATTGAAATGTAGTGTAGTGTAGTGTAGTGCAATGCATTGTAATGCAAAGTATGTATCTATGTAATGTTTGTATGTGTGTATGTATGTATGTATGTATGTATGTATGCATGCATGCATGCAATGTATGTATGTATGTATGTCTGTCTGTCTGTATGTATGTATGTATGTATGTAATGTATGTATGTATGTATGTATGTATGTATGTATGTATGTATGTATGTATGTATGTATGTATGTATGTATGTATGTATGTATGTATGTATGTATGTATGTATGTATGTATGTATGTATGTATGTATGTATGTATGTATGTATGTATGTATGTATGTATGTATGTATGTATGTATGTATGTATGTATGTATGTATGTATGTATGTATGTATGTATGTATGTATGTATGTATGTATGTATGTATGTATGTATGTATGTATGTATGTATGTATGTATGTATGTATGTATGTATGTATGTATGTATGTATGTATGTATGTATGTATGTATGTATGTATGTATGTATGTATGTATGTATGTATGTATGTATGTATGTATGTATGTAATGTATGTATGTATGTATGTATGTATGTATGTATGTATGTATGTATGTATGTATGTATGTATGTATGTATGTATGTATGTATGTATGTATGTATGTATGTATTGTATGTATGTATGTATGTATGTATGTATGTATGTATGTATGTATGTATGTATGTATGTATGTATGTATGTATGTATGTATGTATGTAATGTATGTAATGTATGTATGCATGTATGTATGTATGTATGTAATGTATGTATGTATGTATGTAATGTAATTTATGTATGTAGGTATGAAATGTATGTATGTATGTATGTATGTATGTATGTATGTATGTATGTATGTATGTATGTATGTATGTATGTATGTATGTATGTATGTATGTATGTATGTATGTATGTATGTATGTATGTATTTATGTATGTATTTATGTATGTATGTATGTATGTATGTATGTATGTATGTATGTATGTATGTTATGTATGTATGCATGTATGTCTGTATGTATGTATGTATGTATGTAATGTATGTATGTATGTATGTATGTATGTAATGTATGTATGTATGTATGTATGTATGTATGTATGTATGTATGTATGTATGTATGTATGTATGTATGTATGTATGTATGTATGTAGTGTATGTATGTATGTATGTATTCATGTATGTATGTATGTATGTATGTATGTATGTATGTATGTATGTATGTATGTATGTATGTATGTATGTATGTATGTAATGTATGTATGTATGTACGTAATGTATGTATGTATGTATGTATGTATGTATGTATGTATGTATGTATGTATGTATGTATGTATGTATGTATGTATGTATGTATGTATGTATGTATGTATGTATGTATGTATGTATGTATGTATGTATGTATGTGTGTATGCATGTATGTATGTATGTATGTATGTATGTATGTATGTATGTATGTATGTATGTAATGTAATGTAATGTAATGTAATGTAATGTATGTATGTATGTATGTATGTATGTATGTATGTATGTATGTATGTATGTATGTATGTATGTATGTATGTATGTATGTATGTATGTATGTATGTATGTACTGTATGTACTGTATGTACTGTATGTATGCATGTATGTATGTATGTATGTATGTATGTATGTATGTATGTATGTATGTATGTATGTATGTATGTATGTATGTATGTATGTATGTATGTATGTAATGTATGTATGTATGTATGTATGTATGTATGTATGTATGTATGTATGTATGTATGTATGTATGTATTGTAATGTATGTAATGTATGCATGTATGTAATGTATGTAATGTATGTATGTATGTATGTATGTATGTAATGTATGTATGTATGTAATGTATGTATGTATGTATGTATGTATGTATGTATGTATGTATGTATGTATGTATGTATGTATGTATGTATGTATGTATTTTTGTATGTATGTATGTATGTATGTATGTATGTATGTATGTATGTATGTATGTATGTATGTATGTATGTATGTATGTATGTATGTATGTATGTATGTATGTATGTATGTATGTATGTATGTATGTATGTATGTATGTATGTATGTATGTATGGTATGGTATGTAATGTAATGTAACGTAACGTAACGTAACGTAATGTATGTATGTATGTATGTATGTATGTATGTATGTAATGTATGTATGTATGTATGTATGTATGTATGTATGTATGTATGTATGTATGTATGTATGTATGTATGTTACGTATGTATGTATGTATGTATGTATGTATGTATGTATGTATGTATGTATGTATGTATGTATGTATGTATGTATGTAATGTATGTATGTAATGTATGTATGTATGTATGTATGTATGTATGTATGTATGTATGTATGTATGTAATGTATGTATGTATGTAATGTAACGTAATGTAATGTAATGCAATGCAATGTAATGTATGTATGTAATGTAATGTAATGTAATGTAATGTAATGTAATGTAATGTAATGTAATGTAATGTAATGTAATGTAATGTAATGTAATGTAATGTAATGTAATGTCTGTATGTATGTATGTAAGTATGTATGTATGTATGTATGTATGTATGTATGTATGTATGTATGTATGTAATTATGTATGTATGTATGTATGTATGTAATGTATGTATGTATGTATGTAATGTATGTATGTAATGTATGTATGTATGTATGTATGTATGTATGTATGTATGTATGTATGTATGTATGTATGTATGTAAAGTATGTATGTATGTATGTATGTATGTATGTATGTATGTATGTATGTATGTATGTATGTATGTATGTATGTATGTATGTATGTATGTATGTAATTGTATGTATGTAATTGTATGTATGTAATTGTATGTATGTAATTGTATGTATGTAATTGTATGTATGTATGTATGTATGTATGGTATGTAATGTATGTATGTATGTATGTATGTATGTATGTATGTATGTATGTATGTATGGTAATGTAATGTAATGTAATGTAATGTAATGTAATGTAATGTATGTATGTATGTATGTATGTATGTATGTATGTATGTATGTATGTATGTATGTATGTATGTATGTATGTAATATATGTATGTATGTATGTATGTATGTATGTATGTATGTATGTATGTATGTATGTATGTATGTATGTATGTATGTATGTATGTATGTATGTATGTATGTAATGTCTGTAATGTATGTAATGTATGTAATGTATGTAATTGTAATGTATGTATGTATGTATGTATGTATGTATGTATGTATGTATGTATGTTTGTTTGTATGTAATGTATGTAATGTAATGTAATGTAATGTAATGTAATGTAATGTAATGTAATGTAATGTAATGTAATGTAATGTAATGTAATGTAATGTAATGTAATGTAATGTAATGTAATGTAATGTAATGTAATGTAATGTAATGTACTGTACTGTAATGTAATGTAATGTAATGTAATGTAATGTAATGTAATGTAATGTAATGTAATGTAATGTAATGTAATGTAATGTAATGTAATGTAATGTAATGTAATGTAATGTAATGTAATGTAATGTAATGTAATGTAATGTAATGTCATGTAATGTCATGTAATGCAATGTACTGTAAGTATGTATGTATGTATGTATGTGTGTAATGTAATGTATGTATGTATGTATGTATGTATGTATGTATGTATGTATGTATGTATGTATGTATGTATGTATGTATGTATGTATGTATGTATGTATTTTTATGTATGTATGTATGTATGTATGTATGTATGTATGTATGTATGTATGTATGTATGTATGTATGTATGTATGTATGTATGTAATGTATGTAATGTAGGTATGTATGTATGTATGTATGTATGTATGTATGTATGTATGTATGTATGTATGTATGTATGTATGTATGTATGTAATGTATGTATGTATGTATGTATGTATGTATGTATGTATGTATGTATGTATGTATGTATGTATGTAATGTATGTAATGTATGTAGTGTATGTATGTATGTGTGTATGTATGTAATGTATTGTATGTATGTATGTATGTATGTAATTTATGTATGTATGTATGCATGTATGTATGTATGTATTGTATGTATGTATGTAATGTAATGTAATGCAATGTAAGTATGTATGTATGTATGTATGTATGTATGTATGTATGTATGTATGTAATGTATGTATGTATGTATGTATGTATGTATGTATGTATGTATGTAATGTATGGTATGTATGTATGTATGTATGTATGTATGTATGTATGTATGTATGTATGTATGTATGTATGTATGTATGTATGTATGTATGTATGTATGTATGTATGTATGTATGTATGTATGTATGTATGTATGTATGTATGTATGTATGTATGTATGTATGTATGTATGTATGTTGTA